TCTTCTACATCAATCGATGACTTCGGTCTGTTCCTACAACGAAACCAACACAGGTTTTCACCAAACCGTATAATAAGCACGATATGTCATTTTTCCTATTGTGAATTTTCCATTTCTGGATGGCATCCTTCCTGCATCTCCAGCGGTGTAAAAATGTCGTAGCTGATTCAATTGTCGTGTGAGATATCGGAAATTGACTGACAAACTCATTATAATGACCTCATTCTGCGATAAGAAGCTAGACGTGTTTTATATTCGTTAAAATGCCTGATAGCTCCAATGTTATGTTCCATATTCTCATTTGGAAACGTAACTTATTTGGATTGACCAAGATTTACAAGGCTGATGTTGTCGCCGATGAACCAGTAGGAACATACCATCCAAGAATATATTGTGTTATTACTATTATTTTATACTGCCCTGGTTTCGAAGAGTTTATTTTAGAATGGAGATTCTGTTGACATGCCAGTATCTTTTTTGTTGCTTTGGGATCACATTCATACTACATATAAGTTTTGAATTACTTTTAAATTCCTTTTAAATCCCCAGTTTAGTTGTATATATTAATTTGTAGCGAATTCACAATCATACAACTTATATTGAACGCCAACAAAACCAATACAATTCAAGCGTTTTGATCACCCTCATCCTATGTCTACGTTAAGCGTGACCATTGATAATATTGACCTTTAAAACCAGATAGAGATAGGTACTTTTGTGACGTAGGTTTATTATGGGATATAACCGACTGCCTTATCAAAATTTAAGTCTGGTCGAATTAAGAAAAATTTGTTATCACCTGATAAATAGACGTCGTAGTAGCATTTAATAATGAAATCGTTATCAGGCGGATAAATGTGTACGGACCGAAATTGGCACTGGACGTGTCTGGATTGTAAAGGTAGGTCTCATATAATTTTGTACATTTACAATGAAGTTTGAATTCCAGTATTAAAGACGGGAAACAGGTAAGATTTATGTATGGCTATTTTGTTAGATTTTTATTTCCGTGTACATTATTTCTGTCTATTTCCGATAGCTATCTGCGCTGCGCAAATTAGCACTTTACCGGTAAACATACGATTGAACAAAATAGAATTTGCTATGAAACCTGTTTACATACCAAATATATATCATATATGTTCATTGATGTTTTGATTTTCTACTCGTTATTTCACCAGTCTAAATATACGTTTTGATATGCAGATTTCACTGTAATTTAACCAATCTTTAACGTACATGTACTGTATATATCATGGGTTTGGCACATTATAGAAGAAATAGGAGCAGTTAATGTAGAAGTACGTTTTCCCGTAAACCCTGTGATATCGGTACTGTACTAACTTGTCAGTACATATTTGTATTGTAAGCTGCAAGATTTGATCTCCTGAAATACTTGATGACCCGAAATACTTGATAACCTGACATACTTGATGATTTGAAATACTTGATGTCATGAAATAATTGATAACCAAAAACACTTGATGACCTCAAATACTTGATGTCCTGAAATGTCCTGAAATACTTGATGTCATGAAATACTTGATGTCATGAAATGTCCTTCAATACTTGATGTCCTTAAATGTCCTGAAATACTTGATGTCCTGAAATACTTGATGACTTGAAATACTTGATGTCCTGAAATACTCGATGTCATGAAATGTCCTGAAATACTTGATGTCATGAAATACTTGATGTCCTGAAATACTTGATGACCAAAAACACTTGATGACCTCAAATACTTGATGTCCTGAAATGTCCTGAAATACTTGATGTCCTGAAATACTTGATGTCCTGAAATGTCCTTCAATACTTGATGTCCTTAAATGTCCTGAAATACTTGATGTCCTGAAATACTTGATGACCAAAAACACTTGATGACCTCAAATACTTGATGTCCTGAAATACTAGATGACCTGAAATACTAGATGTCCTGAAATACTTGATGTCCTGAAATAATTGATAACCAAAAACACTTGATGACCTCAAATACTTGATGTCCTGAAATACTAGATGACCTGAAATACTAGATGTCCTGAAATACTTGATGTCCTGAAATACGTGATGTCCTGAAATACTAGATGTCCTGAAATACTTGATGTCCTGAAATACTTGATGACCAAAAACACTTGATGACCTCAACTACTTGATGTCCTGAAATACTAGATGTCTTGAAATACTTGATGTCCTGAAATACTTGATGTCCTGAAATACGTGATGTCCTAAAATGTCCTGAAATACTTGATGACTAAAAACACTTGATGACCTCAAATACTAGATGACCTGAAATACTTGATAACCTGAAATACTAGATGTCCTGAAATACTTGATGTCCTGAAATACTAGATGACCTGAAATACTAGATGTCCTGAAATACTTGATGTCCTGAAATACTAGATGTCCTGAAATACTTGATGTCCTGAAATACTTGATGACCTATTTATTGCGTTGCTGAAGTCGATGATTTGTTTATAGCATTAAACTTAATTGTACCGTTCAACGGAATACACGATAACGACTGAGGTATGTGATATGTCCGGACTCTAAAACGACAACAAAAAATACCAAAATGTGCACATAATCATAATCTAAACTCAAATTCAATAAAACTAGGACAAAATCTGAACAAATGACAGATTTACATTGAGACGTCTGAAAAAGTACAAGCATAATAAGATCGTGTGTTTCTCAAATAATTGATGTATATCTCTATGGGAAATTGATTTACTTTCTGTCCTGTAGTATTTTGGCAATGTGTCCATAGATAGCATTATTAGCTATGGGGAAAGTCGAAACCTAAATGAAATTTTTATATTATCGAAATAAGCATAAATGAAGAATCTGTAATGTAATGAAAGATTCCAAGGATGAGTTTTGATAAGTATTTACAACGTTAAGGAACACAGCAGTGTCATCTTCACTATCAATTTCCTATAAAAACTTTATAGAAATATCATAGGAAAACAACCCATGATAAGTATAAATGTATAACATAAAAGACCCTGAGCTGTCCAGCACTTTCTCGCAGTCACGCTCGCGTTTTATTTTGTATCTTGTTAGGAAGTGAAAGTAAGATCTTTGAGAAGGTTGATCTAGGCGCTGTCTCGCAGTCACGCTCGCGTTTTATTTTGTATCTTGTTAGGAAGTGAAAGTAAGATCTTTGAGAAGGTTGATCTAGGCGCTGTCTCGCAGTCACGCTCGCGTTTTATTTTGTATCTTGTTAGGAAGTGAAAGTAAGATCTTTGAGAAGGTTGATCTAGGCGCTGTCTCGCAGTCACGCTCGCGTTTTATTTTGTATCTTGTTAGGAAGTGAAAGTAAGATCTTTGAGAAGGTTGATCTAGGCGCTGTCTCGCAGTCACGCTCGCGTTTTATTTTGTATCTTGTTAGGAAGTGAAAGTAAGATCTTTGAGAAGGTTGATCTAGGCGCTGTCTCGCAGTCACGCTCGCGTTTCATTTTGTATCATGTTAGAAGTGAAATAAGATCTTGGAGAAGGTTGATCTAGGCGCTGTCTCGCAGACACTCTCCCGTTTTATTTGGTATCTTATTGGAAGTGAAATAAAACCTTAGAGAAGGTTGATCGGGGCACTGTCTCGTAGACACTCCCGTTTTATGTTGTATCATGTTGGAAGTGAAGTAAGATCTTAGAGAAAATTGATCTTGGCGCTGTCTCGCAGACACTCTCCCGTTATATTTTGTATCTTGTAAGGAAGTTAAAGTAAGATCTTGGAGAAGATTGGCCTGGCGCTTTCTTCACAATAACTTGTCAGTTATTGACTTTAGCTTATTGATATTTTAAGAAGATTGCGCAAAGGAACGGCATTCCTTACATTCCTTACATTTCTGATAGTTCCCAATGGTGACAAGAGCAGAAGAAATCGATTAGCTCTCGGACGTACGATATATATATAAATCTCACAGCTTAAGCTAGAGTGTATGTCTTTACATACGCATGAAAAGATTTGTGTGACAAATTTATTACGTCAATATTCAGGCGATGGGACCTATCCTTAACTTGTCACCAATATTAGGTTTTACACACTCACCTTCATTATTGTCTCGTGTGACTTTTTGAACACTTAATGAATACATAATTATTTCAAGCCCCACATAATTGCTTTAACACCTGTACCAAACAAAACTACAGGTTGCGTTTGAGCACTTACACTTTTATGAAAAAAGATATTTTTTTCATTTTACTGAATAAATCAAAATGTCTTTTCTACCGGAACGTAATTGTAAAAGTTTACATACAACTTCTTAACCTGATCAAAACATAAATCCCTACTGTTTACTTAAAAATATTACGAAGTCATTTGTTAATTGAAGGTACAAGAAAGACTGAAGTTTGAACTGTTTGAAGAGTATTGGGTTTTTTTTTCTCAAAAGTTAGAAAGCAACTTGGTTGAGCTCAACGTATGTGTAATTGTCAGCGGAAAAGTCACGCCCTTGTCCTGCGACCATCCCTTCAACGTGACGGAACTAAGGAATTAATCGGGTTATGAAACAGTAATTTTTAACGCAGTTGGATTACGATGTTAATATAGTATTTTGATGAAATTTTCAAAGTTAGATATATCTGTATATGGGAGGGGGTCTAGAATGCGCTCTTAGTAAATTTGATTATTTATTTTTAAGCGCCCCGAAAATTTTCGGGGGCATATAGTCTTTTATTTGCATCGTGGAAATATCCTTTACTTCAGTCACCTCGATGAAATTATTTCGCAGTTTTTATACATATCTGGATATTTAGCGACTTGATCCGGTTTTCTCAGGTTATGTACATCATGCACTTTAACTTTCGGGTTGAAGTGTGATATATGTGCTTCTTGTTCATATTTATTTTATTTGATCAAATTTTATGAATAAAAAAGTCATTAAAGTGCATGAAAATGTAAATAAAAAATTCCTTATGAAACCTTTTGAAATTGAAATCAATTGAATGATGATAATTTCTAGATTAGTCTCTATTTTATAGATACTCTGATTAATTGAGGAACAATGCCGGGCACGCCCACTGCTCGTGTGATGGAGGTGGAGGGTGTTGACACCAGCAAGATTGAGGATTTTCCTTTATCGGGTTTAAAGGTCGTCGGAGCAGTTCAGATTGGACTAGGGGCAATTTGTATTACACTGGGTTTGGTTGATATCCTCATGTATGTTTTTGAAGACCAGGAAACGCTGTTTGCCACATCAGCCACGCCCATTTCGTCGGAACTGCAAGAGGCACGATCTACGCTTATGTCATTGACAATATCCTCCGCTCCAATCTGGTGTGGTCTATGGGTCAGTTTGCTTCTCTTATATGTACTGGTCCTTAAAACATGTTTTCAATCAATCAATTCAAATTGTGAATTTCATTATATTACAAGAATAATAATGACACCATTATCAGCTTAAATCTTGAATGTCATTTCTTCGCAATTTGCTAGGTTCCCCATTGATTACGTTCTTTTTAAAGGGAGAGAGAGGGAAACAGAAATTAAGAAACCGTTATATGACATTTCATCATCGATGGCAAAAAGACATTTTAAAAGTGACAAAAATTTCGTAAGCCGTCAGATCGTGATGCGTTTAACTCGAAAATGCCGTGCATTCCCTTACTTATGGGAAACCCCCATTGTCTTCTAAATAAAATGAACGTTTTACCTAAGACTATAGATAGCGGTGGCGGAGTATAAGCTCCTAGATTCAACGCCGAGTTTGACACTTTGGTTTAAATCAGAAATTTGATAAACAAATAGTTACGGAGGCGAAGTAAATATATTCGGATAACATTACGATTAATCATACGATAAGGCTGAGTTTGATTAAACACGCAATGCCTTTATTTGGATTTGGAAATCAGCCCAAACAAGCATCTGGCTTTCGCGTGTGGCAATCCTGTAGCACGTATGTAAAATTCCGTTAGTATTATATCTACATACGGGGATTTGACAGGCGGAAGACATATGTACTGACATGATCGTGTCCTTTGATATATTACTCCGGCGATTGTTCATTAATTAGGTGGTGTGTTGCGTTGCCCAAAATTATGAGATGTTGTCGTCGTACGTAGTATCCATTCTAGAAATAGTATAATTACCTGAGAGATTTTTAACTTCTTTTAATATATACAAATAAAGAAATAGAGAATGTGTCCGTCCTTGTAACTGTTTGACAAGTCCCCGTACAGACAACTTACTGAAATGTATATTTACGAATATGAATGAAAGCTTGTAAACTTAATACTGTTTCTATTGTATAAGAAAACATTTTTGTAGATTCGGAGATACCTTTAACGTTTTTCTCTGATAAGGTAATATTGCCCCGCAGGTTTGGCTTAAGAATGGTACCTGCTAACCCAACGACATGATTCGTTAGAGGTGATTAAATTTGAGATCTGATTTCGCCTTGCTAACTCTAAGTTTCTTTCTAATTCCTCTATTGACGCTGCCTCACTTTTTAGAATAAGTTAACCCGGTGTGGAAGGCCTCGGATTTTGGACCCTGGCCGAAACATATCAGAGTCTTTCTGACTAGCCTGTTGTCAGTACAATGTGACCGGATAGAATGACCTGCTGGGTGACGTCGACACTATGTTTTAGAGATGTATCTTTATCACACGGAAGCTTATAGAAACATATAGCAGCTTCCAAAAACACACGCATTTCCCCCCATATACATCGGCAGGCAAAATAACATTTAAAAAGTGTCAAAGATAGATTCTTCGACAAAGGTTTGAGATGTCCACTGATTGAAGAGTCACTAATGAAAGACTGTAAAGTATTATCCCATTAAATTATGAAATATTGAAATATTGACAAGAAGACAGCATAAAACAACACCAGGTTACATTATACGAACAGCGGACTAACCAGTGTCCGTGCATTTTATTTAATGCTGAGTAAAAAGCATGGAGCACTGAGAAATGTTTGAATAATGTTGATGTGTCACAGTTCGGGCAAAGATCTCCATCTTTACTGCTCAATGTAACACAAAAACCACTAGGATTTTTCAACGAGTCTAGCTTACTCGCTTCCTGTTTTACCTATACAGACTGTGAACCGTGCCGTCGTATGAAACGCTTCTTGTTGAGTGTTTAGCGACAGTTAGTGTCAACAAAGTACAGATAGGGAGTGGAATTGTACATATGTACATTTAAACATTTAGCACCACTGTTGTTAAAATTTCATTAGTTTTATCAGCTCCGTTTTGGACATTTAATACTACATCTCTCTTACCACGGACTCGTCACAGACCATCAGCGAATTCATCTCCCGTCCCCCGCTACACGTCACTATAACGAATCGATACAGGGCGGTATTTAAGCTTCATGTACTTACATATAGATGACGTCAGGAAAGAGAGGTTTCCCCCATTTTTTAGGGGACATAATGGACACAAGTCATGTCAAGACATGTATGTTACTTCAATAAGAAATGACGTTTTGATTTGTTTACAAAATAATAACATGTAAAATGGAATCAGATTGTACATGACCCTATAATTCTGAGTGATACTTTGTTCAATCTTCTCTATCGTTCACAGTTCTGTGTCGCCGGAGCTATGGCCGCATGCATGTCACAGAGAAACAAATCGACGCTCAATTATTTTGTAAGTCACGGCGACGTCGTCAGAAAGACGACATAAACACGATTTAATTTCTGAACACTACCCAATAGGTTTAACGAACAGCGAATTGTTTATCTTAGTGGTGTATGTTACGTAATCCTAAACTGCATTTCGACAAAAGTGAAGTTTTCAATATATGTACGCATGGTTTTATCTGTAGTGGGAATAGATAAGCAGGACATGTGCGCCTTTGTGACAGTAAAAAGTATCTCAATGATGTAGCGATACCTATTATAGAAGTATTTCATACTTAATTAATTCTTATCTGATCAAACATTCTCGTGAACCAGATATATGACATATTGTAGAAATTTATATCACAAAGTCAAGTTGCTAGTTATTATTTTCGTATTTTGATATATAATTTATAGATGTATTCACAATTCTATGAAAACCGACATTTATGTTACGGTCATGATAACTAAAATATATGTCAATGTTTTGATAGAAACTAACCTTCCTGGTACTGAGTATAATGAACGCCGCCATCTTTGGACCTGTGTGTATGACAATAACAACTGTTGTCTCAGTCATGGTACGTATAATTAAGCAAATAGCGTGGAGAATGACGGGGATGGGAGAATGTGTTGGAGAATGGGAGAATGACGGGGATGGGAGAATGTGTTGGAGAATGGGAGAATGACGGGGATGGGAGAATGTGTTGGAGAACGTAAGTATATGTTGGGATGGGGGTGGGGGTGTGTTGGGGAATGGGAGAATGTGTTGGAGAACGGAAGTATATATTGGGATGGGGGTGGGGTGTGTTGGGGAATGGAAGTATATGTTGGCATGGGGGTGGGGGTGTGTTGGGGAATGGGAGTATGTGTTGGGATAGGGGTGTGTGTGTGTTGGGGAATGGAAGTATATGTTGGGATTGGGGTGGGTGTGTGTTGGGGAATGGAAGTTTATGTTGGGATTGGGCTGGGGGTGTCCTTGGGAATGGAAGTATATGTTGGGGTGGGTATGTGTTGGGGAATTGAAGTATATGTTAGGGTGGGAGTGTGTTGAGGAGTGGGAGTATATGTTAGGGTGGGGTGGGAGTGTGTTTGGGAATGGAAGGATATGTTGGGGTTGGGGGTGGTTTGTGTTGGAGAATGGGAGAATGTGTTGGAGTGGGGTGGGGGTAGGGCGTGTTGGGGAATGGGAGAATGTGTTGGGATGGGGTGGGGTGGGAATGTTTTTCGGGAAAAGGAGAATTTGTTGGGTTGGGGCGGTCGTGGGAGTGGTTTTGGGAATGGGATAATGTGATGGAATAGGGTGGCAGTGTGTTCAGGAATGGGAGTATATGTTTGGGTGGGGCGGGGTGAGTTGCAGGAGTGTTGAGAATGACGGGGTGGAGGTATGGGAAGAGGGGACACGTGGAGAGATTAACGGGAATTGTATTATGTGTGTGTGTTGGTAGGGTGAGGAAGGGGTACGCGGAAATAGTGCAGGAAGAGATAGGTTTAAGTGTATGTGGGGGATATGTGAGGATTAAACCAATACCACGTGTGTTGATGAAGGTGGATTAAACTACCTCATAATAAAAACACTGGTGAAATGAAGTGCCTTCGGTATAGTACAAATGTATATAGCGGACATGAGTTATGTTTAACAGAAAAACACCTGGCTAGACTTTAATACTTATTCTGTCGATTTTGTGAATGTCATTGATTTTTTGAAATTGTAACTGCCTGCTATATATAAGCCCATGTTGCCTCGTTATTTTTAAGATATTTTTGCATTAATCGTCCATCTTGTTGTAAATGTTCTTCGACTTCGCCAGTTGTTTCGGCCAAATTATCCGGTGACGAAACGTATAATCATTGTATGGTCCATGGTTAGAATGATGAAAAAAAAAACCGTTCACTATCAAAGGAATTCCTTCAGCGCTCAAATCCCCAAGAAAATATCCTACACTTATAATCAGCTATTTATTATATATATAGTTTGTCTTTTTATGGGTTAAAATGATAAAGAAACAGGTGGATTCATAGTTAAGTCATCATCAATGTGAATTAATTAACTAGATTTATCTTCAGAAAAAAGTTACTGTCCATATCGTTCACCTGTCTTATGAACAATAATAATGAAACAAGCAGGTTACAAACTAGTTAACGATAGTATAACTTTATAACAGTCTATTATCTCTACTTTCTGTAAATCTCATATCTGAGATAACATTTTCTAGATGCGTGTAATGTTCATCCAAAAAATATAAATTCGCTCAAACAATTTCAAATTACAAAATGTAAGACGGAATTTTGTAAATTTATCGGATTTATCGAAGTTATTTATGTAATGGTTTATTATACAGAAATATTAAGGATGACCTATATAGCATAGTACAAAATTACTTTACCATTTACACAAACGCAAGATGCAAAACAAGTGCCCATAAAAATTTTTTTTTCTGTCCAGAAGATAATAATCGGTTTTTTTTGTAGCTGTTTGTAGTTACGTCTGGTTCATTAACATTTTAATTCTAAATATGTTTTTTACATATATTTTGGTTCGTTAAATGTTGTTCATTTTGTAACTAACGGCCCACTGATATTCGGTGTGCTGATTAATCGTGAAGGTTATATAGATGAACATCAGTAGTTTGAACGTCTACATAAACAAAAAATAGCATACGAGGCTGGTCTTATTTCATGTTTTCAGGAATGTCGTGACACACGACACATACCGAACTTAAGGTAGTGTGTTTTCCGTTGTCTATAGAGACATACGATATATGCCGAGACGTACCGAAGTTTTGGTTGTACATTTTCCTGTAACAGATACATACGATGGATGCCGAGACGTACCGAAGCCTTGATTGTTCATTTTAAATTATTTACAGAGACATACGATTAATGTCGAGACGTATCGAAGTTTTTATTATGTATTTTCGTTGTTTACAGAGACATTCGATGGATGCCGAGACGTACCGATGGTTGATCCCAATTCTAACAGCTTTCTTCTCCTTCAACGAGATTGCATTCGCTATCGTATCCGCTTCTATCTGTTGTTGTTGTTCCCCTCTCAGGACCAACCGGGTAGGTTCAACATCATCAACCAGGAATTATTTATTTATTTATTGATGGACAATTCCATCGATATTGCGAAGAGTACAACTTAACGAAAATTATTTAGAAATAATTTGGAGCGAAAAGCGTTAAATACAATCAATTTCAAAATGTTTAGGCGTTGTATATTCTCTTGTAGAACTCCCAAATTATATTGAAATGAAGAAACATACACATTATGTTAGCCATTATACTTATAAGTAGAAAAACAGATACATGTACAAGTTAGTAGGCAGGTTTTTATATTAACTCTAGTTTCAACATTCCGCCTATTTCATATCGTACACCACATTTCGACTGAGACAGGTAGATTCGTGTAGGTTCACCTCGAAAATTGGTTGGCATATTTTTGTACAAACTGTTTGTTGTAAAAGTGGCCTGTGACCATGATCTCGGAAACTTTATTCATGCACTCATACCAGATGTTCAAACTATATAGATTTGTATACATAATATGTCTGGGGCGATTTCAATGCAATGGTTGTCCAAAGTATAGACTACAAAAGTAAATGGAATGATAAAATGTTCTTGAAAATAATTAACTAATTAACGAAATTAATTAAGACATGTTTGAACGTGGTTGTGTAAACAAATAACTCAAATCCATCCTGAAATGAAGTAGCTTTTGGTGGTTTAATTTTTTCGTTTAATATTTGACCTCTTTGTTCACAATTTGTTGGACCTAATGACCTCTCAGTTGATAGCGGCATAATAATATAAAATTGATAAACAGAATTGAAAAAGGGCATCCTTTAAATTATAATCTAAATGATTCAGTTTTCTCTCCTTACATCAGGTAAAAGTTCTCTTGGCTACCCAGAGGGAAGATAGTAAGCTGTTCACCGTATCCAACAAACTGGCGGAACCGGAACCGGAACCACAAAAGAAACCACAAAACGTGAACAAAAAGCCAGATCGATGGCCAAAAAAGGAAAACAAACCGATCCAGGAAGAACCAGTTGTCATCGATGAGGAGCCATATTTTCCTACCGAAAGCGTGACTAATCACAGGGACCGCCCAACCACGAAAGATTCCGTCACCAGCTATGTCCGATTGAAGAGACTGGCACTCCCATCGTCCGAACAAGTTGCTACATTCTAAGAAAAAAGCTATGCACGCCGGAGCAAAATAAGAGAATGTCAAAAAGGTTTTAGCACTTACAGAGAATTTATACAGTGTGTGACGTAACCAAATGTGATCGACAGCTTTTCTGTTGCTTTAGATAATTACTAAATCATGATTGATTGTGGCTTCAATCACCAATGTGATACGTGAAACACCCTTTTAATTAGGAACTTGAAGGTGTAGCTTTGAATATTCATATACCCCGTGATCAGAAATCAACGTTTAGAGAGAAAAAGGTTTCTCAAATCTACGCATCAATGTCATTCAACTATATTATCTTGAGATAAAGTCAGGTTGATATGTTCATTGAAAAGACACGCTTCATCAAGAAAAGTACTCATTATTAAAAAAGGTCATTGTTCTAGATGTGATATAAATGAGACTATATTGCATGTTGGCTAGGAATAATTGCTATAATTATTGAAAAGTCAATGACTTGGTTTTCGTAAGATTTTTTTTCTGTAGAAATGTTCATACGGAGAAAACCCCGTCAAAATGAATTGTTGTCATTCTCTCTTACATTATAACACTTGCATGGGAAAGCATGACACTTGCCGCTGTAGAGAAATTGCTAATGACCATATCATGACCAAAATATAATGCTTTTCATACCTCCTTTATAACGCCAAAGAATAAAAATCAAAGCCTGATAATTAGAGCGGTGTTCCTCTAGTATTAATAGGAATCTTGTCCCGCAGCATACAATTTATCAAGTGTTTAACAACGCCATACAAACGAATCCCGAATATTATAATATGTTCCGTTCATATCAGTTCTCAACCTTCCCTGAAAGGTGTGCCGGATTGAAATGACTTTAACGAAATGTTTTCGCCGTCATTTACCATACCAACTACAGGTACACGTGAATGAGCTTTTATGTAAATACTTACGGAATATAATTCGTATTTGCGTAATTTAGAATTATGAGCGTTAAGGTTTTATATGGATTTATATATTAAATTACTTGAAATAAGCTGCTGCTAATCTATGCCGACAAAGGAAAGTCATCCTGCAAAAAAAAAAAATAATAATAATAAATACTGATTGTAGAAAAATGACCAAACGATTTTTATTTTTTTTCAAAGAAATAAACGATTTTATTGCTCGCTTATGTATTCACGTAATTTGTCTTATACATTAGCGTGGAAATACCACCACATGATGCCGGAAGTAAATAGATATGGAATGCGGATGCCAATAGGTCAACGTTGTCACGTGCACAGGTCAAAATAACAATGTTTTATATGTTTGCAATAAGGATGAACCCAGATAAGGATTGTCAGCTCAAAAGTTTCCGTAAAGTTTAATACTGTTAATTAATATTAATGTAATTTCACAGTGGAAATTTCATTTACTCGGAACTGTTCATGAAAACAAAATATTTCCGCTTTAATGATAGCAATGCATTGAGGAAGTGATCAGGTTAGATTAGACAACTGAATAACAACAGAACCACCTACTTCGATCTGTTTTAATATGATATAAAATGACGATTTTTACATTATTTTGTCACCAACACAAAGTTATAATACTGTAAAGGTAACTTGAAGGGTTAACCTATATGATTTTCAGACAGTTTTAATGTCAAGCTACCATGTTTTATTTTAAACTCTCAAAACACACTGATTTCAAAAGTAAATATTGGACTGCCTCGATTTTTTTCAGACTCAAATACCTTGCCATCCAACTCCTATAATTGTGTTGATTGTCTTGTACATGTAACGTGATGTGTTATAGGACTGGAATGGAAAAAATCTTATTATTACATGTATAAAGAACCAAATCATCCGGAACGTGTAATACTTTGAACTATATATATATATAATGCCTGAACATATTATCAGTCACAATAGGGCGTAACCATGGTACCGGCTCTAACTGAACATATTATCAGTCACAATAGGGCGTAACCATGGTACCGGCTCTAAATGAACATATTATCAGTCACAATAGGGCGAAACCATTGTACCGCTACTAACTGAACATATTATCAGTCACAATAGGGCGAAACCATTGTACCGACTCTTACTGAACATATTATCAGTCACAATACGGCGAAACCATTGTACCGGCTCTTACTGAACATATTATCAGTCACAATAGGGCGCAACCATGGTACCGGCTCTCCCCATTGCCTGATGCGTTATGAAGCGACCAAATTATTGATTGCTTCCCTTGCCACTGCCTTCCGTTTGTTATTCTACAAGCATTCCAACCCGTGAGCAAGGCTTTGAGTTATCTTTCTTGGACTAGATATTCCAGAGTCTGTATTAATGGTGCTATTTCTCCTTGGTTAATGGTCAGTATTGTGATAGTGTCCCTCGCTTCCCTTTGCTTGCTAAGACTGATATACATGGAATTGGCTTCATGTTATTACCACACGTCAAAGAAAGAAAGAAGAAGGAAAGAAAGAATGCCAAAATCTCATCACAGTCATAATCCAAACACGAGTATTATATCATTACTCTAATATTAATCTTACTAGTTTTACAATGCTTAATTTCAACGGAGTTGATGCCCGTATGATCCTTGTAATTCGTTTGTGTATTTAGGGTAGTATTACCTTAGCTCCACGGATTCCAGGGTGGAAGGACAATGGGTCTGGCCAATTACTGACAATCCTGTGGAGTACACAGACTGGAAGGACCACAAAATACCGGATGGAAGAGAAAACTGGCGTGTCCTTTCTAATGCAGAAAACAGTGGGTAGATCTGCCTTTAATATATCAACTTATTTCATATGCAAAATGAGGTAATTCTCTCTTGTTTCTAGTAACAAAACACAGCTAGATAGTGACAATCCTAGTAATATTATTTATGTGGCAACTTGATGCACCCTTCGACATTTGTATCATCTTTTATTACTTAAATCACCTTGGTAACAAGCCATTCAATGTTATACTTTTCATTACCAATTAACCGGTGTCATACACTTTGTGGCACAAAATTAAGCGACAATACAGATACATGTACATCCAGTTGTTCGTTAGCGTGATACAAACGTATCCTTTAGCAACACAATAGCATTAGGTCAGTCGTCCACATATTGCTGCATGAGCTTTCGTCTAACATATATTACATTTTTGACTGAATCCCGGAACAGGTGATGGAAATATGATGCGCCGATCTTTTTGATTTTTCTGCAAATGAAGATATAAAATTCTCGGATCGCATTTTCAATACTTTTTTTTATTTCACGTGAACATTGGTGAGTAACGATCGATAATTGAGTGGCCTGTAAGATATTGAATCTATTGGAAAGTTATATAGTCTTTTTATATTGTATTAGGTACCGGACTAGGCACTGCACGAACGTTCTTATATATTTCTGCGCTCCACTGCATCTCCGATTGTTTGTTCCATTATTTATACCATAATGAAATCTGTCTACACAAGGATGCTGCAGACCAAATGTAATAAGCAAATCCATGGAATTTATATCCCCCGCTTTCCAAACTTATTGTAAGTAGATAGAGGTTAAAAGTAAACATGTCATAATGCTAGGTAGAATTATATAGTTTAATGATAAACTGATAATATTTGTGGGACTTCAAGTAACATCTAAATCAGATTGTATTTAGGAAAGTTAGAGCACAAAAACTGACCGACCATTGAAATGAAAGGATACCTAATTAGTATGCATAAATATTAACAGATGATACTGATTGCTGAACTCAGCCTGATGTGCCTTTATATGCATCTGCTGACCAAGTTTCCTCTGAATCAGATTATATTCAGGGAAGTTAGAGCACGGAAATGAACCGATTAATGAAATAAAAGGATACCTCATCACTATGCATAATTATTAACAGATGACACTGATAGTCAAACTCAGTCTTAATGACCCAAAGATGCATCTGCTGACCAAGTTTCACCCAAATTGGATGATATTTGAGGGAAGTTAGAACACGGAAACGAAAGTGTGACCGACAGACGACGGGACTGGAGGACGGACGACTGGACAAACCCAAATTGATATCTCCCGTTTCGATGAAAGCGGGGGATAACAATATACCACCATTTCAACAGAAGGAGTTAGAATGTTTTTCCTGTCTTTGTTACATTCAGGTTATGACCCTCTGAGAACATCGAGATAATATCCATGTGGTATGATAAAATGTTTCACTTCAGGCGATCTGAGCCATCGTAGACAAAAAACTAACTCTCAATGTTGAAGGCAAAATCTAACATCCTGTTTTATCGAAAATGACTAAGAGGTCAAGTATAGTACAAATATCAATGTCAAAATTCCAAATTTGGTAATGTTAGGCTCAAACAATTGCCCAAACCAATTCAGTCCATTGAGTTATGTTTACATACAACATATCCCAAGGAATCTCATATTACGGACAGGTGTACCTGTCTATAGATTTTAAAATGACCTGTAATGGTAGCAGGTGCCGAGGCGAATTTCCCCTTTCGATACAAATAAACTTATAGTTATTGCATATGCCAATGAGTCTATCAAACTGTGTCGTACCTGTGTAACCAACCATAATAGGCTTACATCAATGCCGACATATGGAATGGAATATAAATCAACCTTTACATTATAGATCATTATTTATATGACGCAAATTAGGATCACAGATACGCTAGCAAAATAGCAATCAAATGCCGAAGGGAGGGCAATTAAAATCCAAAATTCAAAATATTGAAAACCATAGGTTAAAATACATATAACTAATTTCTCTCTGTTTGCTCTGCATCTTGGCGTAACATTTTTAGCAATTTAGTATTATTTGTTTTTCACCTTCAATTCCAGGAGAACGTTGAGATTTAAAGCTTTGTTTTGGAAGAGTTGTTGTTGTTCGGTTCCCTCCTCTTTTCTACTGTCATAATCAATGTTTGTTTATAAGATTGTGCTACTGTATCTAGGAACTGTATGAGGAAAGATATTCCCTATGAAATAGTACAAATAATACTGTTATACTGAAAGTGTCTTATACTTGTTTACATACCAAGCCCCTTACTAC